TAATAAAGCTTCAAAGACATGTGGGAAACTCAGGGTGGAGGGGAGGCTGCTCACCCCACTCTATGGTACTGGGCTATGTCTTATATTAACTCAAGGGCAGAGATTTCGAGGCGTGGGTGTGGTTCTGTTTCAGCTGTTTCAGCTGCTTTAAGAGAACTCAAGGGTCGATGCTATAGGGACAGAAGAAAGACAAGAGTGAGGCTGCACCTGGGCAGGACGCGTGGCCACAGCATGCCTGAGCCTGGCAGGCAACGCAGGTGAGCAGCAAGCAAAGGATGCAGAGCGAGGGGGAGAGTCCAGAGTGGGCATGGAGCTCCTTAGACAGGATGGCAGCCAGTAAACAGCAGAGGCTGCTTGGGGCAGACCAAGAGTTTCGGTGCGGTTTGAGTTTCTCTGTGCACAGGAGAAAGCATGCCGTGCTGCACTCAGGCTGAGGAGCAGGACAGGGAACCACTGGCTGTGGTAAACACAGAGTGTGTGGAGGGTCTGGGCACTGGATGAGGCAAAACCCTGGAAGGCCTTCCTGAGTCCCCCTTCACCATGAAGACAAAAGTGAAGGTCCTGAGCCCCTCTGGAGCTGGCAACATCTGGAATGCATGATCTTAGCTGCATTCCAAGCACCAGAAAACTGCCTCTCAAGGCACAGGAAGGGAGACCTAGCCCAGCACCTGGGGTCCACTAGTCAGCAGAGCGGGGTGGCCCTGGCTGAGGCAGCAGCCAGGTGAGTGCTGGCTCCAGCCCACCTACAGCTCCCCTGCACCTGCCCAGAGTGGAGCCTGCTCCATTCAGCACCTCTGGAATGGAATGCGAGGAATGCTATCTGCACTGGGACCGCTGGGAAGCTTGGGAAGAAGCACTTAGAAGGGGAGCCAGTGCAGATCTGCTACAGGGCCACAGGAACCATCTGGGCTACTCAGCGGCTGCACACCCTCCTTGTGGAGACTGCCTTTGTACTGAACAACTAAGGACCCCGCCCCACGTGATGGATTACACCTCACGCAGATGAAAAGTAACCCCCTTCTCTGCAAAAGCGGAGCAATCTGAAGACTCATCAGTATCACCGCATGGCAATCAGGATCAGCCCTTCTGCAGCCTAACAGGACACTAGGACGGAAGCTGACAGCGCCCCTTGGTGAAAGGAGAGGAGCAAGAAGGGGGCTGGCTCATAGGCCTCTCCCCGGATAAGGAAGAGACTGGTCACCGTGGTGCTCCTCTCTACATAATCACAAAGCTATTATTTATTATGAGTGTAAAGATCATTCCAATTATTTACAAGCTCCTTCCAATTTTTTACTCAGAACTCATCTTCGGCTAGTAAGTCAAATCTTTCTTCTTGGTGAACTGAGGCCTTGGGGGACCTGTCTGTTGGATTACTGTAGTCTTCAATTTCGCCATTAACGTGGCAACACCGAAAGGCGTTTCTGACCGTCGCCTGGGTGTCAGCGTTTCTGACTGGGAACTAACCTGCCTTTAAACAAGCAAAGCAGGAAGCTGAGGGAAGAGAGAGCAAACTGTAATGACTGACTTGTTTCCTGAAATACACTTCTCTTTCTTGTCCAGATGTGGCAGGGGGCCCAAAGCGCCTTGCTTCCAACCGGCTCTGTAGTCCAGGCGACTTCAGGGGACAACTTAGGGACCCACCTGCTGCTGTGTGCCAGGGCTGCCGGATTTCGCTCCCTGGAGGTCCTTGTTGCCCTGAGTCCACACGGATAAAACAGTCCTGTGATCCCATCCTTGAGAAGCTATTGCCTACAGCTTCTTTTGCTACCCAATTCCATATTCATTTCTAAAAATAAAATAAAAATAGCACAGAAAGACAAATACCATCTGACTTCTGTTGTGGTTTGGATCATGGTCCGTCCTCCAAAGTTTCATGTTCTGGAAATTTCGTGCTGGGAGGTGGTAGGCCCAGTCGGTGGTGAGTGGCTCATGGTGATTACACCGTGGAGACAACACTCATGAGTAGGCTAGTGATAGCTCCCCAGAGCAGAGAGTTTGCGCTGTCGTAGAAGCCAGGGACAGCAAGTGCCGGCTTCCTGCTGCACACGCCTGCCATCCTCTGCAATGCCTGGGCCAGGCTGCTGGCCTGTGCATGTGGACCATGCAGCCACTCGAATCATGAGTTCTTTTGTCTTTATCCATCACCCAGTCTAGGTAACAACGCGAGAGCAGATGAAGACAACCTCATGTACAAGTGGAATCTGAAAAGTTGATCTCACAGAGCCAGAGTGGGAAGGTGGGGAGGGAGGGCTGTAGAGGGAGGGATATGGATGGGAGGGTAAAAAGTGCTAGTTAGACTGGAAGGATAAGTTGCAGGGCTAGAGCTCGCTTCACGTTTACCAGTTAATAACAGCATATCCGGGACCAGCAGATGGCGTAATGGTTGTATCACTAGACTCCCATGTAGTCGACTGTGGTTCGAGTCCTGGAGCCAGTGGCTTAAAACTCACACCAGGTGCATATGCGTGCATACCCAAAATCCTGAGAGGAGAAGGGATTGCAGTGTGGCCACCTCCTCACCCCGAGGGGTGATTTCTTGCTTTCTGTCTCTGTCTCTCTAGCAAGTGCACACACCCTATAGCAAAACTCTCTCTCTGATAATAATAATAATAATGTATTTTATAGTTTAAAACTACTAAAAGTATAAATTTTAATGTCCTCACCACACACACAAAAAGACTGATGAGGTAACACATATGTTAATTTCTATAATGTACACATAGATCGAAACATCACATTGTACTGAACAAACATGCAGGATTATTATTCATCAACTAAGAATTAATTAACTAATTTTAACCCCCTGTTCTAAACAGCAAAGGAAAAAGGAACGTAAAATGGTGAGTCCACAGGACTGCTAGACCTGGATTGGAAACGTGACTCCAGACGGGGCACCCAGAAAGGACATTGGGACACAGCAGGCCAGTAGGGCCTAGGGCTGCCACCTCTGCCAGGTGGGGATGCCAGGGGTCAGGAGGACAGTGTCCACCTGGTCTTCGAGGACCTGGCAGAGGACGTGGCATGGAGCAGAGTAAACAGCAGTTTTATAAAATGTGTGCAAGGAGTCTGCCTTCGTGGCTACCCTTCTAAATCTGCTTTCCTTTCACCATTTAAGTCTCTGGGATCAGTCAAGTTAGGAATCAAAGTAGCCATTGGCCACCTAAAACTTTGCATTTCTGTCCTTTCCACTAAATGGAGCCAGAAAGTAGGTAACAGAGCACAAACAGAGGCCACTGGGATGGCCGCTGTGCTAGGGGGCGCCTAGCCCCAGTCCCACCTTCCCGCGGTAGTGCCCGACTCCTGGCCCCGGCTGGGTGGAGGCTGGCACATGAAGGATCACGGCATGGCAAGATCCTGCCGGTACTTCTCCCTCCCTACTGCGTGTGCTCTCTCTTACACACAAACACAGACGTCCTCTGTGTCACTGGAAGAAGGCATCAAAATAAAACAGTAAAATTAAACATGCAAAAAGAGACCAAGGAGCTATCTCGGAGAAAGTGGACTTGAGCAGACCTTGGAGAACTGAGCAGACTTTACATGGTGCGAGGAGGGGAGGCACCTGCATGCCAAGGCCAGCCCCAGAGAGGGATGTGCCCTGTGAAGGACAGGGGTCTGGGAGGGCGTACACAGCCAATCGGTGCCCACTGGAAAAGGAGAGGTGGTGGCACCTGCCCAAAATTCGTAGTGGGATCACAAAGCCAGCTCATCCATTTATTGATTCTTTTTCTAACTTGACAGAGGCTGCTCACCCTTGCCAGAGAGAGACAGAAACAGAGGGAGAGGGAGAAAGCATCCCTAATAGGACATGGTTGGGGCCAGCATACGGCATAGCTGGACTCCCACATGGCTGACCACAGTTCAAGTCCTGGACCCGGTGGCTTGAAACTCACACCAGGCGTGCGTGTGTGCATGCCCAAGATCCTGGGAGGAGAATGGAGGAGAAGGGATTGCAGTGTGGGTACCCCTGTGGGGTGAGTTCTCCCTTAGGTTCTGTCTCTGTCTCTCTCTCCCTCACTTGCATGCGAGTGCACATGCCCTAAGACAAAAAGCTCTAACAAAGGCAAATAGGACACGCTCATACTGCAGGGCCCTCTCCATCTCCCCACCCTGTCAGGATTCAGAGCACACACACATTTGCCCAGTGTTTTTCAAGCCACCAGGGCCAGGATTCAAACCATGTGGTCAATGATGTGTGATCCAGCTGACTTAATTGCCAGACCATGGAGGTGGCCCCCATAAAAAAATGAACTTTCACTTATTTTAATTCAAGATAGAAAGTGTGTGCACAAGCAAGTGAGAAAAACACCCCTCACAAGACCCTGATCCCGGTCCCAGCCTGATCCCGGTCCCAGCCTGATCCCGGTCCCAGCCTGATCCCGGTCCCAGCCTGCCAGCATCTTCACAGGCATGCACCCACCTGTGTGTTTTCAGGCTCACGCCAGGATCCCGATCTGCAGGCAGCCACGCAGTTCCCAGCACTGTAGTTCAGTGTCCACTGACGGTGCCACCAGGCTGGGCCCACTGGTTGATTTTTTCTATCACCGTTCTCTGAGAAAGTTGTTCTCTGGGTTCTCCCAGGCCTTGCAGGCACTCGGACAGCAGGCAGCTCAGTGCAGTGCTGGCCCCTCATCTCCTGTCCTTAGTTCAAAGCTCTTCCCTGCTGTGCTCTTGGATACCAGCAACTGGGGGGTGTGGGGGAGAGCCAAGTGTGGAACAGGCTCGGGAGAGAGGCAGTAGCTTCACCCCCAGCTCAGGGTCCTGGGCCCATCTCTCTCTTCCAGCCAGCAGGAAGCGACAAAGCTTGGAGGGCCCACAGGCCAGGCCTGGTCTGCTGACACTCAACCAGTAGAATGCAATTCCAGGTCAGGCTGGGAAAGTCTGGGGTGCCCAGGAGAGGCGGGGGGGGGTTGGCTTCTCTCCCTCCCTCCCGTGTCCCGATGGCTCCCCTGAGAAACCCACTGTACCCAGAACTTGGAATGCCCGGCTCCCTCAGAGCCACCCTGGGGCCTGTGTTCGGTTCTGCATTCCGAGCGATGTAACTCCTGCCCATTGGCCTCAGGTAGAGGGAAACACTTCCTTCTCTCTCCCTTCTGTCTCTCAGTGATGATGGGACCTGCCCTGGCACAGGCCATCTCTGCACACCCTCCTCCTTCCTTCTCCAACTCTGGGGGCCACAGGAAGCTCCTCATGTGATCAGCTGTTACAGCAGTCAGATGTCACAAAACAACTGCAAGAAAGAAGGGCCACAACGTAAACGTCCTTTAAGATGTTGTTTTGCGTTGTATTCCAAACTACAATGGCTTTACATGAACATACTCACCTCTGATTTCAGAGTAAAATCAATGCTCCAGAATGAAGCGACCTGTCTACCCTCTGGCTTCGCATCACTTTGAGGGGAAGAGTCCGCTGAGAGCAACCTGGCCTCAGAGCCAAACCCACACCTGGGACATGAGAAGGGGCTGGGGCACAGGGAGCCTGGGACCAAGCCAGGTGGGCTGTGGGCAGCAGATGGCAAGGCTGTCCCCACGATCGCCTTCCACCTCGGAATGCCCGAAAGATGGCCTCCCCACTCCCCCCTCCACACACCCCTGAGGAGCTTCTGATAAGCCATAACTAGGGTTGGAAATCCCATTTCTGTTGAAACACAGGCGGGGAAAGACGGACACCTGGTGGGCACATGGGAGCATTACAGCACAGGTCTGGACAGGGACACAACTCTGGCACGTGGCGGAGCACAGACAACCTCAGAGTGTATCTCCAGTCTTCAAAGAAAGAACAAATAGTTCATTTTTCATTATGTGTAAATGCATCAAATGAAGGAACAACCTTTTTAAAAAAGGAAAGTTTAAAGAATTTCAATGAACAAATTACGTTTTGAGTTTACCTTCATTTCTAGACTGAATTTATTAGCCATGTGCGTTCTGTTCCAAAGCTTCCATTTCGGTAGTTACTGAGGTTCGGGGAGATAAGGAGAAGGAGGCTACAACTGAGGCTTTAGTTGGACTCTCTACACAGCCGCCTGAACTTGATGTGCACGGCGAATCCCCAAGACCAAGACGGAGGCCAGAATGCAGACATGCTGCTGGGTCTTAGGATGTGCTGACCAAAAAGAAAAGAAAATTCTTTAAGTTTGACAGGAAAGAGCTTTTACAAAACCCCTCTTTTCTTATAAGTAGGCTGAAGATTTATTTATCTGTTTTCCAAAACAGATAATAACATCAAGAAGTTGTTAATAACTCTTCCCTGTGCTGCTAGCTAAAATCCGGCAGCCGTTTCTGTGAATAACTGAGCAGTGAAGCAAAGACGCAGAACCGGGGTTGACACGGCCACGTTCCAGCACAGGGAGCGGGAGAGCTCCCAGCTCCCAGGACAGGAATGCTCCCCCAAATGTCCTATATATACCCTGACCCTCCTCACCTACCCTTTGTTGTCTGTAACACAGATTTAGCTAGTTCCGTGTTCCTCTTACCCTCCTGATTTTCCCCAAATTGATCTGTGCACCTTTCCTTTCACATGACATTTATGACCCTGTTTTTGTCTTTACAGCAACATTGAATCTGTTAGCTAAGACTTGAGACAAACATTGATAGATCAGGGGAAGCTACACTGTATTTTCTTCAAGGTATACTGTTTAGCCACACAATGTAAACATCTGTGAGTAACTAGTATGCTAAAGGATAACATTATTCCAGTGTTCCCCATTTAACCTGCTGCATTGTGTCCCTTGAGGAAACATTTCCATCTCTTAAGATTTCTCACCTGGGACCCCAGTCTGGTTGCATTTTTGTGGCCATTGTCAAAAGCAAGCTGCTTAAGTTTCTTGTCTATGCAAATAGGGTTATTTGCGACCTTATTTGTTACACTAGTTACAGATTACATTAGTTGCAGAGGCTACAAGCACCAGTTAACCCTTAAGGTAAAAGAAAGAGGAATAAAGTAAAAGGAAAGATGAAACAAGGTTAAACAAAGCCCTCGTCCCTTATTTAACGGAGAGGTGGTCCTCTGGAAGGAGACGCCAGCTCAGACAGGTGCCTGCTTGGGAATGTAAAGACACGTGTGTGACTCCAACCAGAGCCCATCCCTTTCACGGGCAGATGTTTATTCTTGTTTCCCTGGCAAGGACCAATCCAGGTGGCCCTCCTGTGAAAACAGGAAATGTCACCCCGAGCCCTCCTTAACTCGCGGCCTTCACCGATTTCCTCTCTGACCTATGATCACACCTGTTCTTGTGCAGCCTGTCCACTAAGCATGGTTTTTATATTTGTACGCTTCTTTTTCTTTTTTTTTTTTTTTTTGGAGGGATTTTTACTGTTAGGGCGCGTGTGCTCGCCAGACAGACAGAGAGAGAGAGACATAGAGACAGAAAGCGAGAAATCACCCCCCAGGGGGGATGGTCATGCCGCAGTCCCTTCTCCTCCATTCTCCTCTTGGGATCTTGGGCACGCGCATACACACGCACCCTGCGTGAGTTTTAAGCCACTGGGTCCGGGACGCGAACCGCGGTCGACTACGTGGGAATCCAGCGACATAGCCATTACGCTAACTGCTGGTTCCCTGTACGTTTCTTTAAAAACAAAAAAATGACAAAGACTGATAGGAAACAGAGACCTGTGTGACCCGAAAAGCCTGAAACATTGACCACGTGGCCCTGTTCCGAGTTTGCCACACCCGACACTGCAGACTTTTCCTTGAGAATTGGCTTTGAGAAAGGTAGAAGAAAAAACAAACTTTCATTTCTGAAGGAAAAAAAACACACCTTTCTCTTTTTACATTCAGCCCACTGTAGCGAATAGGAACTCCCTGGCCTCTATTTAGCAGTTATGCACAGGCCTTCACAGCACTGGAAGGAAAACTTACCTGTAAGACTTAAAACTCACCAGCCTCCAACACGAAATGCAGCATAAAAACCTACTTGTGCTAAGGGGCAAAAGGGAGGTGGGTGTTGATGGGGTTTCAGAGGTAACCCCTGGAGCCTGGAAGGACATGCAGCATTTCCATAGCAGAGCTGGGAGAGAGGGCATCCCAGGGGAGGGGACGCCAGCAGGGCTGCGCTGCTAGATGGGCAGGTGGCCAAGGTGAACGCAGGGAGAAAGCTGCTGCCTGCCTCACTAAGGTACTTCGGAAAGACACTCAAACGGGAAACCTTAAATAAGAAGAAGTTACTGTGAAGTCACGTTTGTCTGCATTGGAAACCAGAGCTGGAAAATCACTGGGACCCATGAAGGTGTTAAGACAAACGCAACCGGCCCGAGACAGCCCCTGCTCACGCACTGGTGTCTGAGCTGCGGCTAGCCGAGTCCCTGAACAGACGGAAAGATGACTGAGGAGCCCACTTCTATCTCAAGGACCCGGGCAGCCGAGTCACCACCCTCAGGCAGCGGTGTGCGGACTGTGCTCCGGGGTCTGTGTCCCGTCCCTTTTTCTGTCCATGCCTGTCTGACCGTGTGGCAGCCTGGCGTGTCTCAGAACCAGTCCTGGGGCTGAGCGATGAGTGAAGCCACGCTTTGCTCAGTTAAACTCTGCTCAGTTTAGTTGGTCTAAACTTTTCTGTTAACAGACAGACGTGAAAAGCATGACAAGAAAACCCCAGTGGCCGCAGTAGCACTAGCAGCCAGGCAGGCTGCCTGCAGAGCCTGTCCGAGTCACCGCTCTGTGCGCGCTGCAGCTTCTCGCCGCTCCGCCTCCATTCACTTGTGCTCTGGTCTGAGTTTATCTGAGCACTATTTAGACTGGACTGCATCAGGGTTGATCAGGATTTGCTAATTAACTGGAGTGTGACAAATTAAGGATGTGACAAAAGGGACTGTACTCTGCCTGAACGAACCCCACTGGGGCTTCTCTATCTGTCTACCTGAAACTCAGAGTCCACTAACGTTTGTGCTAAATTACTCTTTCATCCCAAGGGTGAGAACAGAGAGAAACCAGGCAGCGGCTTTACAGAGCGAGGCCTTCTGATCAGCGGGCCCCCCTCGGGATCCACTTTTACGCCGTGGTCTGACACTGAGCTCAGTCACTCTAAAGGATTTCCCGAACTCAGGGGACATCTACAAAATGTACTAATGTATAACCCTCACAGGAGCTCATGATCCAGGGACTCCCTGCCCTTTACTCACTTTTCTGCACAGTATCAGGCCCAGGCAAAGGACGAACGGAGGAGCACAGAGAGCCTCCACAACCGCCTCACTAGAAGGGCCAAACGCAGCCATGAAAAATGCTGAAACACTTCAGATTCAGTTCCAAAGGTTTTCTCTCTCTCTCTCTCCCTCACACACACACACACACACACACACACACACACACACACATTGTTTGGCCCATTATACGATGTTGCACATTAAAAAAAAAATGGATGAGCCAGTTTCAGATTACAGAACTCACTGTTGGTGGAACATTTACAGAACTCACATAAAAACACTGTTGGTGGAACGTTTCGGACTCAAGGGAGCTGAAATGGCTTTAACGGCTCTATTTGTCAATGGACTCTGTCTTGAACTTAGTGTTTAATTAAAAACTGTAAAGCAGGATGGGAAGTTACAGATACGGTCAAATTGATGATCTTAGTGGAATATTTTGATAGAATTCTAGAGGAAGACACAATCCCCAATGCTAACAAATGTATCTTTTCAGTTACAACAGTTACAAAGGAAGCATCTCATTTTTGTTTTATTAATAAATCACAACCAAGAGGCCCCAGAACAAGAAATTCTTTACCCTGAGATGTCTCTCGTCATTGAAAACAACAGAACACAGGAAAAAGTTGTCCATTTCTGTATTAGTCCGCTAGTGGGTCCTCTTCCCTCTAGGCTGGACTGTTTCTCCACTAGAAGGGACATGAGAGGGTTTAACTCTCGTGAAAATAATCAACACTGATGAGACTTCCAGGGACTCTCCAGCAAATTGCTCCCCTTACATAAATAGGGAGAAACAAGCATGAAAATAAATGGAGAATGTTGGATATCGAAGTCAGCCTGGCCAAGTGGTCTAAGGTGCCAGATTCGCACTCTCCCTTCTGAGTACACTTATCTACCCCCGTGATGGTTAATTTTGGGCGTCATTTTAGTGGAATTAGGAAATACCTTGGGACCAGCAGATGGCATAACAGTTACATTGCTGGATTTTTACATAGTAGACCATGGTTTGAGTCCTGGACCTGGAGACTTAAAACTCATGCCAGGTGCATGTGCGTGCGTGCCCAAGATCCCAAGAGGAGAATGGAGGAGAAGGGGTTGCGGCATGGCCATCCCCTGGGGGGTGATTTCTCGCTTTCTGTCTCTCTGTTTCTCTCTTCTTCTCTGGTGAGTACACGTGCCCTACAGCAAAAATCTACCCCCCACCACCAAAGGAAAAAAAATAAAAGAAATTCCTAGAAGCATCAGGGAGCACTGCTCTGGGCGTGTTTGTTAGGGCGTTCGAGTGGAGTAGGGAGGGAAGATCTGCCTCCAGTGCGGTGGGCACCACTCAGTTGGCACCAGCCAGGGCTGGCAGAGAAGCTGGATCTGTCTCCTGGAGAACGGTATAAACTGGCGGTGGCTGCTGCTTGGAGCCTCAGAACTCAAAGTTCACTGCCTTGGACTCCAAGACTTTCTCAGTGACCTCAGACCGAGTTATCTCATCAGCTTCCCTGCTTCTGAAGCTTTCAGACCTGGACTGAGCCATGACGTAGGCATGCCAGGGTCTCCAGCTTGCAGACAACTTGCTGTGGAATTTCTCAGCTGCCGTACTCATGGGGGCCAATTCTCCTCATAAGCCCCCTCTCATCAATCTATAGACTTATCCACTAGGTTCTAGCTCTAAAGAACCCTAATACAACCCTACTTTAATAAGTCAACAGATTGCTTGGAATGAAAGGTAATTTCTGATATACTACCATCATGAATGACACAGAAGCTATCCACACTAGGAAATTCATGACCAACCAACTACTTCAGAGAAGACAACTGGTCATGGGTGTCCTTCACCCTGGGAAGACAATAGCACCCAAGGCAGAAATTCGGGAAAGACTAGTGAAGATACACAAGACCACCTCAGATGTCACCATGTAGTTTGGGTTCGGAGCACATTTTGGTGGTGGCAGGACAACTGGCTTTGGCATGATTTACGATTCCTTGGATTATCCAAAGAAAAATGAACCCACACGTAGACTTGGAAGATGTCATGAAAACAGCACAAAAGGCATGCACGAGCAGAAAGAAGACAGTCGGGGGACTGCAGAGGCCAATGCTGGTGCTGGCAAACAGTCAAACAAGTAAAGATTCCACGACTGTCTGCAGGGAGTGTGCAAATTCTTCACAAGAGGGTTAATACACTCCAAATTTCCATGTAAAAATATTTAATAAACATTTATTTTATTTCACTTTATTTATGCATTTATTTACTTATTTTTAATTTGACCAGAGAGGGACAAAGTGAGAGAGAGACAGAAAGTGAGAAAACAAGCTGCCAGGTCCAGGACTCAAACCGCAGTCAGCCATGTGGGAGCCCAGTGTCCTTAACCACCATGCCACCTGCTGGCCCCCAAAATAGTAATTTCTAAATTAAGATAAAAGGTAACTTCTGTCGTGAGGTTTCCAATCAAATTCAAGAAGTTTCCGTATTTGGATCTAGCCTATCCATTTGACTTTAGTGCCACTTTCAGAAAAATGTACACTGTTAGTAAATGATACTGCTTAGTAAGCTTGCTAGGGACAGAATTACTTTTAGAAGCAGAAAGGCTTAAAAATTTCTACTCAGAAGGGGAGAAATAGCTTAGAGTTTCACTAACCTCCCGAACCAGAATGACTATGTTCTTTGTAAGCAAAAATTGGTAAGATTTAAACTCAGGTGTGCGATATTCCTGACCTTTTTAATCTACCTAAATGTTTGTAAATCTTCCTCACTGATACAGATGTGTGGAATCTATGGCGTCCAAGTAGATCATTCTAAACTTTTGCATAAATTACTCTACTGTCCATTAAAAACCTGAAGCAATTCAAAGGTTCGCACAACTACAGAAGCTTTAATTAAAGAAGGACTTATAAGTCTTTGTACCAGGCTTTGTAACACCATATCCAGTCCCGATTTAAAAAAAAATGGATGGGGATGAGCAGACGGCATAATGGTTACATTGCTGGACTCCTACATAGTTGACTGCTGTTCGAGTCCCAGACCTGGCCACTTACAACTCACATGGGGGAGTGTGCATGCATGCCCAAAATCCCGAGCAGAGAATGGAGAAGGGATGGCGGTGTGGTCGCCCACTCTGTGGGGGGGCGGGGATGATTCCTCACTTTGTCTCTCTGGTGAGTGCATGTGCTCTATGGCAAAAAAATAAAAAAGTAAAAAAGTAATTATCTCTCTAAAAAGTGGATGAGATTTAGAGATTTGTTCAGAATTGCTGGGCAGTTGGGGCTGGATGATGGCATGGCAGTAAAACAGGATGCTCTGCAAGAGACCACATGGAACAGTTTCAAGTTCATGTCCAATGACCTCGTAAGTAAGCCAGGCATGAGAGTACCCATGACCTGGGAACGGTTGAGGCTGGGGGTGGATCATGGCACCAAGACCCTGGAGATGCTGCTATCTTTCTTTCTATGTCTCTCTCTCTGTCTCTCTTAATTATGGGGGGAAATTTTTAATTAAGAAAATGATTTACAGGCAATTAATAAATTTATAGTTCTTGTACCTGTAGTACTAAACTCTACTACTTTATTATATAATCTATCTGGTGAATCAAATAAAGTATTAGATAATGCTTCATTATTTGAGCTGCCCTGTCATAACTCAAGCGTTTATTCAAACTCCTTTATATTGCTCCCCGATGCATTGCATCAGGATTTAATAACCCTAAAGTTTCCTCAAAATTCTATTCTTATTCAACATGTAGATGACACTATATTCTAACACTAAAGAATGCCCTTAAATTAACTATTTACTTTTTGCATCAATTCACATATAGAACTCACAAGGCTTTGATTAAAACAAAATTGAAACCAAAACTCTGGTTTTCTTTCTTTTGTATTTTAATTGCTAGACGGCATGTGTGAGACAGACAGAGAGAGGAAGAAAGCACTCCTTAATGGAGTGTGATCATGCCACAATTCTTTTTTTAAAAAATTACTTATTTTATTCATTATCATTATTTTTAAATTTGACCAGAGAGAGACAGGGAGACTGAGAGGGAAAGTTGGACAGCAAGTCGCTGGGTCTGAGACTCGAACCACAGTCAGCCATGCGGGATACAGTGCCTCAACCCACCACACCACCTGCCGGCCCCCCCAATCCTTTCTTCCTCAGATGGTGTTCATGCTGGGATTTGGTGCAGATATGAATTCATGTAAGATGCAATGTTCAAGCTACCAGGGCCAGAATTTGAACCACAGCCAGTCCTTTGGGACTTAGCTTCTATCACCAGCGTATGAGGCTGGCCCAAAACTTCAGTTTTTCAAAAGAAAAAGTTCAGTATTTGGGACGACTTGATTGCTGAAGGAATTTCTCTCTTACACTAGAAAGTTTTCTTTGTCTAGCAACCAAAGGACCATTCATTTTTTTTAGATCTGTAGAATACAGTGAGCCGTGGGCCCTAAACTTCTCCTTAATGGCCTCACCACTGTCTGAGCTCACTGGGCATGTGGTACCAGAGCCTTTACCTTGGGAGGACAGTCATGAGCAGTTCTTTACCTAAATGAATTTGGCCTTACAGCAGCCCTATAGCTCTAGGACTTCCACATGACACTAACTTTACCTTGCTCATTCATGAACTTAACAGTCAGGCACCAGGACTTGTTCCCCAGGAAAACGGAGCAAAACATAGGCCCACTGAATATAAAGCCGACAGTTAGATGGACTAGTTAAGGCATATCTTAATTGTTCAAAAGCACAGGCAGCAGTGTTCAAGGTGGTAGACACTTCATCTGAGCTGGTTTTAGGAAATAAGATTGATTTGTAAATTCCACATGTTGTGGAAAGTATATTAAATTCCAAGCAAACTCAGCATTTTTAACAATCAAAATATTTATAATAAAAAGTATTTTAAAAACTATAAAGATCTTTCCTGTGTTCTTTAAATCTCAATCTAAATGCTGCTGCCCACTTAACCCAGGTACGCTGTAGCTTCTGTCCAATGAAGGTGAAGACTACAGTGGTGTAAGTGCAGTACTAGGAACGGAGGTCCCTCACGTTCCTTTATGAGACACTCCACTGGGTATGTCCT